AACCGCAAGTGCAATTTGCTTTTGATATTACATATATAGGTACTACATGTGGACCTCTCTCAGATTTGTCATTTCATAATGATATCTTCAATTCTCTAATTTTGGTGAATATTTTTGTAATTTTTGGTAAAAAGTGATATTTTCAACTTCTTGTTAAAAACCGCAAGTCCAATTGCTTTGATATTACATATATAGGTACTACATGTGGACCTCTCTCAGATTTGTTCATTTTGTAATGATATCTTCAATTCTCTAATTTTGGTGAATATTTTTGTCATTTTTGGTAAAAAGTGATATTTTCGACTTCTTGTTGAAAACCGCAAGTCCAATTGCTTTGATATTTCATATATAGGTACTACATGTGGACCTCTCTCAGATTTGTTCATTTCATGATGATATCTTTAATTCTCTAATTTTGATGAATATTTTTGTAATTTTTGGTAAAAAGTGATATTTTCGACTTCTTGTTAAAAACCTCAAGTCCAATTGCTTTGATATTACATATATAGGTACTACATGTGGACCTCTCTCAGATTTGTTCATTTAATGATGATATCTTTAATTCTCTAATTTTGATGAATATTTTTGTAATTTTTGGTAAAAAGTGATATTTTCGACTTCTTGTTGAAAACCGCAAGTCCAATTGCTTTGATATATTATACATATAGGTACTACATGTGGATCTCTCTCAGATTTGTTCATTTTTAGCCTTCGCAGACGAAGTCTGCCGAAGGCTTATAGATTGGGTTCCGTCCGTCCGTCCGTCCGTCCGTCCGTCCGTCTTTTACCTCTTAGTCTTATAACTTTGATATGCTCTGTCCAATTTTTTTCCAAGTTGGTGCAAATGTAATTCTCTATGCCATACATATGCACGCCAAGTATTTTTTGGATTCGCCAAAGTTTCATTGTGTTTTTCTGTGATTTTCAACATTTTTCCGAGTTTTAACGACATCTCGCAAGAGAACTGGCATACCGTATTGCGCATGCGCCAGTCTAACCGCTGAGGAAATCGGCGTCTTTCGTCTGAGGATATTGTATTCCGGGACTGTATCTTCTTTGCACAAGGCTTATATAGATTAAATTCTATCTCAAAGGTAAGAAACTGTGCTTATGATATTTATTATGAACTTTGATTTATCCTTTTGTGTCCTGACTTTAGTGAGAAACTAGCGATCGCACAGTGTCACACTTTGCCAGAAAAACAGTCCTGCTATTAGTTCAAGAACTGGTTATGAAACGTGTAAATCGAAAGTTTATCTCGTCATTTAGGAGGCTTGGGAATAACGTTTGGCATATAAAATACTGGAATAATAAAAACGTAAAAGTTTAGAACACGCTGATCGTGATTCTGTGATATACGATTGCTATTTCCGGTGTTCATTGGTTTCGTGACGACATATTAGACTAGAAT